ATGTTAGCACAACCTCTATTGGATTTGAATAAAATTGTGTGGATTATTATATCATAGCTAAAACATTGTCTTATATTTAATAAATACTCTCTCTCTCTCTCTCTCTCTCTCTCTCTCCACTGCAAAGTTTCAATGATAACACTTTTGGATGTAATACAGAATACTGTATATTAAACTAAATTATATAACACTTATAATTAAAGCTACTTTAAAGGCATAAACGAGAAGTGATATGAATATGGTATAAAAGCAAACATATTGACAAAACATGACATACGGGCGCAGGTATGCTGTGGTCGATAGGAAACGGGTGATTGTCGACTGTCGATGGCTTATTCCTCCAACGATTACCACTTGTCCTTCACCTACTCATCGCATTAAATGCCTTAACGAGGGATACGATTGGTTGCGCTCAACGATTGCACACCAGTGATGAAATGCATTGAAATACTTAAACATACATAACATAGATAATTAATATTGTAAAATGTCATTGAATTTATTAATTATAAATGCTATCACTTTAATCAGTGCTATATTTTTAAATAAATATGAGCGCAAGTTGAAGGATGATTGTTGATAAATTGCGGTATTTTTCCTTAAAAAATACCCAGGATATATTTTTGGCAATTATAGATGTGCACGTTTTCAAATAAAGTGTACATGTACAACATTACCTATGCAGATGTTCTATGTGAGTTTTTATTGTTTAAAAGCTATATTATTCTCTCTCTCTCTCCTTAAGCAGTTTGTACCGAAACATATTTCATATCAATAATTACTGTGTATTTCATTCAAACTCATTTGAAACTGAAATCATGAGATAAAAAACATATTTGTATAAAAAATATAATATTTTTTTCATAAATTTAGCTCTCAATCACACACTCACTCCCTCTTTCTCGCACTCGCTTTTAGTTTGTCTTTCAATCAATCAATCGGTTTATTGAAGTCTCCAATCGAGAGATAGATGTCTAGCGTTTATGCCTTGCGTTTCAAATCAATGACCAATTGTTTGTCAAAAAATTTTACATTAAATCCAAACACTGCAACCACTGGTGACAACTGTGGCCCGCATTCACCCACCAGTGCTGTGCTCACGGGTGGGCCCGTCTCGCCCTCCACGTGTCATAACTACGAGCTCTTGACACTGATAGGTGAGGGCACATATGGACAGGTGTTTAAGGCACAAGACGTGAGCACTGGCCGATTGGTGGCCATCAAGAAGATCATCAATAGGCTGACCAGCGATGAGCACATCAGGAATGAGATCAATCTATTGGATCAAATCAGACACCGGAATATCGTTCAACTCATCGATAGATACGATTCTCGCGAAGACGAGGTATACGAGCCATACGTGTCCAACAGCAAGAGCAGCAACACCACAACTACTACTACTCCATGCCATCAGACAATTGCTCAGTATTTAGTGTTTGAATTCTGTGACTTTGATTTGCATCAACTGTTATACGATATGCGCCTTCAGTTATCTCTGGCGCACATCAAGAATATTCTGCGCCAGATTCTGAAGGGCATGGCATACATGCACGACCGCCAAGTGCTGCACCGGGACGTCAAACCGGAAAATATTTTGGTGAACGCGAGGGGCAAAGTACGGATCGCCGACTTTGGGTTCGCTCAGTGTCTCTCTGGGGTCTCGTGGAGCGGATTCTCGGCCAAAGTGGTGACTCTGGCCTATAGGGCGCCGGAATTGTTGGTCGGCTACCGGTTCTACGGCACTCCGATAGACATGTGGAGCGTTGGCTGCCTTATGGCCGAGTTCTGGACCCGCGCCGGACCGCTGATGGACGGCGACGACGAGCGCCAACAGTTGATCAAAATCAGTCGACTGTGCGGACCGATAAACTCGGTCAGTCTGCTGGGCGTACGCGACATGTACTTCATGTCAGACCTGTATTTGCCGCAAATGTGTCGCCGAAGAGTGCGACAAATGTTTGCCGTCCAGTGTGTGGACGACTCTAACGCCGTAGACCTGTTTGATCGGCTCCTGTCGGTCAACGTTGACCGACGGATAACCGCCGCTCAGGCGCTACAACACCCGCTCTTCGCCGCCGAACCCAAAGCCTGTGATATATGCCATTCATTGCGCTCAATGTTTGCGGCAAATCATCCCTATAATAGTGGTGCCGATAAACAGTGCAATAGTAATAAAATTAGTAATAATTATGTGAATAATAAACAATACGGATAATACTTTGTCCTGATTTTTATCACTAATTGTGATATATTTGTCTATTTAATAGTGAAATTGTTTTACAAAATTGCGATGAAATCGTTATAAACTATTGTTTTCTAATCTATTTATTTGACTTTTGATTATCTTTTTGTTGATTTATTAATGAAATAATAAAGAAAAGGAAATGACTTATAGCTAAAGGATTGCTTGATATTTATTATTGATTTGTAAAATCAAACTAGATTATACACAAAAGCTAATCATTTGATTCAGTGAACAATGAATAGACATATGAGACAAACAATAGTTATAAACTCAATACAAGTATTGATTATAATTTATAATATTATATTACTTTAATTTTATAATGTATTTCATGTGTTGTAATCAATACTCTAATGAAAGACATAATGGTTTTAATCCTTGATGTGTTATATAATTAATTTGTTATCAATTTCTGTCAACCGTTTATTATACGATCTGTATATTAATTTATTAATTGGTATTACATATTATACTTACAATCATTTAATCTCATATACTGTATAACGTAAATAAATTATATCTTATTTTATTTTTACGTAACTTAATAAATACTAAATACAGTATTTATCGGATTATTAATCATTAATGTAAATTATTCGTGTTACAACACGTCAAAATAAAATTAATAATTACAAAATTGAATTTACATTTGCATAAAATTTAATAACAAATTTAATAAACATTATAACATAATTAAATAGATTTGTAAATTATTAGTTTGAGATAAAACCGATCAATATTTCCAATTAAAACAACAATTAGTTGATAACCACATCAAAGTCTTAATAGCGATAAATCACTTGTTGTGGTTGTGGTTGCTGTGGGTATTGCGGCGGAACAGCGGCCGCCGTATAAACAGGCGGTGCTATATATTGGGACTGATATGTCGGCTGGGATTGAATGGTGACAACCGTTGGCTGGGCTCTCATCATACGGCGCCTCCTAATGTAAACGCCAATAGCGATGGCAATAGCGATGGGCAGCACAACGAACACCCAAACCCATGTCCAGACACTGCCCGCGCGGACACATTTGTTACCGTTGGACGAGTCCTCATAATAGCCGGAATCGCAAACACAATAGCCGTAGGAATCGCAGCGACGGAAGATGTCCTCCGATCGATAGCACGAGTGGCCGGACGTCAGACAACTGCCCCAACGGCACGAAGACGTGCTGTAATCGTAGTAATAGTCGGCCCGACAATAACAGCTGCGATCAATGCATACCATAAAGTTAGTGCTATAACACGAACTACACGTGTAGTACACGGGTATAGACCGTACGGCACCCGTACTTGATTTGCTGGTTGTATTGGCCGTTATATCGGTGTCTGAATACACCGTACATATTATACACGCGTTGATTGCTATTATAAAAATAGCGTAATTTTGATGATTTAATGAACGCATAATTTTTTTTGTACAGAAGTTGTCAACAATTGTGAGTATATATGGCTATGACTTTGATGCCAATAATCTCTTGTTATTCACTACTTTTAGTGTAAATATATTTATATTTAATGAACAAATAAATTGATAACATCTATGGAAACCCTATGTTAGCCTATCGGCCAAACTCTGGGTTATAAATTACTGACAATTAAAAAGTTAAACAATTACGACAACAAGTCATCAGTTGATATGAGAACACATTATTATTTATTACAGTGATTGTAATAAATACATAAAATAGATATTTTAAATTAATGATATATTTTTAAAAATTTTATGCAATCCATCCATTATTTGATATCATTGATGCAATCTTTAATCAAACTTACATTTGATAAAAAATTTTTGAAATATTGACTAAAAAACGATAAAAAATGATAACTTTGTTATAAAATAATAGAAAATACAATCATGTATGTAAAATATAATAAAAATAAAATAAAAAAAGTACAAAATACGAAAAAAAAAGTCTACGACACCGGGTATTCCCAGGTGGTCTCCCTCCCAAGTACTAACCCGGCTCGACGCTGCTTAACTTCGGTGATCGAACGA